TATGTAATTGAAGTTGTAAATTTTATTAAGGACTTAAAATGATTTTTTATAGGTGTAGATTGATGAAATGATAGAATATATTTTTTAAAAATAGAAATGCACTTATATTATTACTACAAATATGATAATTATGTTGTAATAGAGAGGAAGAGTTATTGGTGACAGGGAAAAACTAAATTTAATGAATGGTTTGGTTTTTTTTTGGTGGTGTTAAAGTATCTTGCTGAATTGGTAAAGATTTTGGTGATCTGAACTACTTAAATGAATAATTTTTTACTAATATGGAGGAGATGGATTGTTTATAATAGAGTTTGTGGAGTTAGAGAAATTAATATTTGTTTACTTATATCTGAATATTAGCCTGGGATTTGGTTTGGGAAGTCCGGGGGGGTGGGATATAAGATTGTGTAATAATATTGTGTAATACTGGTGTTGGTTTTTTTTATGATGAAAACAATAAAAAATTTATATTGAAAAAAAGGAAATTCTGGTCCCAATTATAGTTGTGAAAGTGGAAGTGACTGAAGCTATCTTATCTGATTGTCTGGGATGAATTTCACCTGCTTGGTCCAGAGGAAGTGGACAGAGTCCTGAAAACTGTGAACTCTCCTGTCTATGTTTTCAAATAATGTCTCCTCCCCTGGTTAATCAGGATGAGCTGGTTTGTGGCGTGTAATCTGGCTCAAGTAGTAATGAACACTTCTTTGAGAGCAGGGTTGGTCCATGTGTTTTGAAGCAGTTGGTCCATCCCTCCTTAAGAAGCCATACTTTGAACCAATAGTGTTGGGGACAATTTTGCCTCGTCTTCAGCCTTCCCTTTTAAAGAGAGGATTGTTCAGAAAGTGGTAGGTGTGTGTGGCTTCAGGGCTTTTTGAAGTTTTTTTAAGCCATTTTCAGGCTGGGTTGAAGTACCAAGACAGTATTGATCAGGAGTGTGGTGCTCTTTGGAGGCCTCAAAGTGGAGGTGGTATACCCATCCTTGCTCTCCTCGATCTCTCAGCAGGTTTCAGTACCATTGACCACGGTATCCTTCTTGACCATCTTTGGGGACTTGGGAATGGGGGGCTTTGTTTTGCAGTGGTTCTCCTTCCCCCAAGGCTGATTCCAGTAGTTGTTGGATATAGAAGGAACAACTCCAAACGTGGACCTCTCATATGTGGGACATCTTAAGGCAGCGGTTCTCAACCTGTGGGTCGCGACCCCATTTGGGGTCGCACGACCATTTCACGGGGGTCGCCAAACCACTCCGTCCGCCATTTTTTTTTTGCCCTTTTCCTTAGCTGTGCTACTCCCTGTGCTTGGCGGCAGCCTGAATGCACGAACTTTACCAAATGTGCCCTGCAGGAGGCGTGTGAAGAGCGCAGGCGCA